CACATTCTGCACAAGGCTGTGTATCAGTCAGATCAATCGGAGAGTGTGGGTGGCCGGCCTGCAGTCCAGAACTGTCTCCCCTTGAAAACATGTGTCTTAATCAGCTCAGAATGTGTCAACAGAGACCCTGTATGGTTGCACAGATAAAGACTTGTATAACAGAAGAATGGTAAAAATTCCTGGATCAGTTTTCAGGAAGTGTTTTCAGTCCCCAAACATTTATTAAGTGCTGATATAATTAAAAGGTGATGAAGCACAGCAGTAAATGTGCTCCTGTGCCAGCTTTTTTGGAAGGTGTTGCAGGCATCGCATTTGCAATAAGCATATATTCACAAAAAACAATGAAGTTCATAAAGGTAAATAGCAAATCGTGTCTTTTTGTACTGTTTTCAACAGAATACAAGTAGAATTTGCTGATCACTGTTTTCTTTTCTTGGAATCAGGTTTGTACTTGCTGCCTGCGATGGGACACAATGTGAATAATTTGTGTCATGTGACATGTTATGCCCTGAAATGATGTTATAATGTTTTTTTTCCCTGTTTTTGGGTTTTTTTGTGTTTTATATAACAGGATTACGTGTGATAACATAGCAATCTATTTAAACATGTTACACCATGAAAGTACATATTAAGAGTCCAAAATATGAGAAAAAAACACTTATGAAGTGTCTAAAAATGTTTTATTATTGTAATAATTGTGATTATTCACGAATGAAAGTCTGATTTTTTTTTTTCTGTAGGAAAAATAATATTAAACTCTACATAACATAATTTTACAAAAACTGCACTACAACTTTTTTCCTCTACATTTTTTTGCTCTATTTGTTTATTTTGCTGCTGCCATCAGGTTATGCCTTATCCTGCTGTTTATCTATATTTTCATTGCCTTATCACAATACTGATTTCTATGATTGAAATGAATGACTACATCCTGCTTGTCCAACCTAGCAACAGTTGCTAGGAAAAATAAAGACAACTGGAGTTGTAAAGATTTTGCATGGTGATTACATGACTGGTTAAAAATCTTTTACACCAGATGCGCCACCATCGCGTATTCACTCTCAGTCAGACTGAGCAGTAAAGTAAGCCTGTAAAGGTAAAGCTTTACTCTAATGACATGTAGCTCTGTCATGCTCCGCAGAGCTCCTCAGCCATGCATTGAGCAGCGAGGCCCACTCAATGCAGCCCCATTTAGAGACACGCACGGATTTGAGCGTATAGGGCCGGTTTTGCATGAGAAAGGCCGGGGTCCTGTGAATGTCCTGCACCCTGCGTGCGCATTCAATAGCAGCAGCACGGTTAGCATGACAAACTGCACTTCAAGTTCACAGCTCCCCCCTCCCTTTATCCCCCTGCCCCCCTCAATCCCCCTCAACCCCTGATCCTCCTGCCCCAGACCCCTCCATACACTTCAGTCTCACTACAGGACAGTTCCTCCTTCAGCATCCAAATAAAAGAAAGATTAAATAGAATTAGCTGTTGATAATTGTTAATGTAAATGTTAGTAATTAGCAACAGCTATAAAAAGGAAGGAAACCCGTTTCCTCCTTCAGTATCTAATAAAATTAGATTGAATGGAATGAACTATTGTAAATTGCTAATATTTACTACCACATATATGATATTTACTACTATATATAATGAATGAACATATATATATATATATATATATATATATATATATATATATATATATAAACTTTCTAAGTGAAAATATATTAACACATCCTCCACAGGAAACAAACTTTAATGTATTTTTCTGCAAATGTTAATGCACAATTTCTATTTATTTGAGTTTAATACATAAAAAAGTGAACATAAAATATAAAAATGTGCCAAAACTTTTGCACAGACCACATTTTTTTTTCCCAAAATGTTAAATACAGCATATATATATATATATATATATATATATATATACATAAAGATGAGGTTTTTTAATGGTAAAATAACTGTAAAAAATTGTTTCTGAATGTTTTTCATAAGTGAAATTAAAGGGTACAGTCTTCAAGGTCAATTCAAGGTTAAATTCATATTCATATTCTTACTTTCTTAGAATTCATTTCTAAGAATGTGAAAATGTTACATGTTTTGAAAGTGTGGCCATTTTAATTGAAGATTGCTGTTATCACTGACTATATTTTAAATATTCCATACACTCACTGAATATCAACATATTCAGTTCTACACTGAAATGGCATTTCTGATGCTTCATGTTTGATGAATGCGTCTTTGTTAGAAGGTATGTTTAAAAAGTTCACGGTCATGCTGAGGTCAAATGCGTCACCTTGTGCATTTTCTGCAGAAAGCCCAGAAACCAGAGATGAAAGATGCAAAAGATGAAAAGCTGAAAAGCTGCTATTAAGAAAAAATATTTCCAATTAACTAGAAAACATCAACTAGAGAAATAAACTCAGCTATTAACTGTTTCCAATCAACGAATCATGTCAAACAAACAACAGTTAGAAAAACTGAAAATGGAGTGTTGAAAATAATCATTTATTTCCAGTTTAATAGAATGATATAACAGAGTTTATTTCTGGATATTAAATAATTAGAAACACTTTCGCCAACAGAGCCTGATATATGATGTAAAACTGAACTGAAAAAAGATGCAATTTCAATTAAATTTGTAGACAAAAAATCATCAAAGCGATTGCTCAGAAAATACTGCGTATACAAAATCCTGATATTACACATTGCACTTGTACAAATTGTACAATATTACATATTGTACAAATAAATATGTTTGATATCATAATTCGATCATTCTGATAAAATGCACTGATTTCTATTTAATGAATAATAACAGAGTAACAATGTCATAATAATAAAAATTGATTCATTTGGTACAATATTTCTATAACTAGGACAAACATTCCCAGAACATCACGCTCTCTTGTCTTAAGGGAGTTCTTCAAGGGTTCTTTAGTAAAGCCAATGGCTATAAATAGAACCATGACTAGTCAAAGAACCTTCTTTAGATGGTTCTTTTAAGTCTACACTGTTAGAAATAAAGGTTCTCTGTAGGTACATTTTTCGTTCATCAAGGTACAAACAATGTAAATGTGCACTCAAAGGTACAACAGTGGTTTTAAGGTCTGATTGTGAACCTTAAATAAGTTTTTCCAGGTGAAAAGTTTGTATTTGTACCTTTTTATAACCGAATGTTTTAAAACAGAACAGTAAAATAAAAGTCTGGAGACGAGACGGGGTGTGTGCATCTCCCTTTTTTTAACTGTGATTTGGAGGATCTAATATCAGCAGCAGATGTGGTCTCGCATTGTGGAAGACACTGTAACAAGATTTGTCACTGTGAACATTTCACATCAACGGATCCCACAAATTGGTGCTTGTTAAAACAATACTGTGCTATTTGTCATTGTTACTGTGTCACTATACAGTACTGCCTTGTTTTTGCTGACATCATTACCACAACAGTTACCAGCTTTGCTAACAAAAGGCTGCTAAAGAGGCAGAAACAATGAAGTCCAGAGCCACTACAGGCAGTTTCAATTGGTTCCTGGCTTACATGTACAGTACTGTGCAAATGTCCACCCTATATTTATATAATTTCCAGTCAAAACAACAATTAAAGTTATTCATTTTTAGGGGACATTTCTAAGAAGATTCTGGAGTTTTGGAAAGTGTTATTAAAAGATTTTAAGAAAGTGAGACTCCTGAGAATGTCTAAGTTGCAACCATCTTCTAAGACTGAAGTTTGGAGGTGAGGAAAAATGTCCCTACAGATTTCTATGGAAAACTGAAAGCAAGTTTACTGCCAAAAATGGAAATATCACTGAAAAATATCATATTAGTTGTACTTAATGTTCTGCTTTTTTAACAGCTGGTGCTAAAAAATAAACTTGTACTTAATGGCTGTTTTAACTGGACATAAAATATGAAGGGTGGTCACTGCGCAGTATACGATTCTAGGAAAAACAAACGGGTATAGAATCTTTACATTATGGTAGATGTATTGCAAGCTTATATTTCAGTTATAAATCCTAAAACCTAGATTATTCAGTAACTACCATAAAATTAATATGTACATTAACTAGCTTGAGAGTGAAAAATTTCATTATGGGCCCATAAACAGGTCCTTTGGAGTTTAATGGGTTAAATATGTTCTTCACATCTCATTAACAAAAATAAAAAAGAATGCACTGAAGAACCGTCCACTGGTACCAGAAGTGGGTATTCTTTGCCATCACTCCAAAGAAACCTTTCTGGTTCCATTTTGTACCTTTATTTTTCAGAGCGTAAGAGTAATCTTGCAGGTACGAGAGAACGAGGCTGCGCTCGGAGCCTCGTATCTGCTCAGTGGCCAGCCGAAAGGAGGGGTGGCTACGGGACAAGTGTTTCAGCCCTAATCTCCTGGCCCATGCTGAAGAAAGGCCTGTACTGTGTGGGTTTATCCTGGTGAGAGTAAGAGAATCTGCCATGCTCGGTAAGCATGTATATCGGCCCATCTCACGGCCCACTGGACACTCCATGGGTGGCCCCCTCCTGGTCAATACCCCACCGCTCTCCACCGACCCAGCCTAGAGCAGGATAATCTCTCCTGCTCCCTTTTTTTCAGGGCCGGAGGCCTGCGCCCAGGTCAGCCTGTGTTACTGAGAGGCTGGATGAGGCTGCTCCGCTGGATGAGGGGGTTCTGGAGATGGGGGCAGGTTTCGGTGGCAGTGCTGAAGCATACTGATGGGGTAGCAAACCAGTGTCTGCTCAGTCTGAAAGCAGCAACTATGTCAAATGAAATGTATGTGTTTCTTCAGCTTCTTCAACACTCTGACATCATAATGTTATCATAACAGACTTGATATGCAATTCGGAAAAAAAAGAAAAACACAATGTGGGATGAATTCAGTTTTCACTTTTATTTTATCATTTTTGATACATTTGTTCATATTTTTTTCTTCGTATAAACAGCAATTGTATGAAAAAACAAAATTCTTTTATCAGATATAAAGACAGATCAATATAATATATAAATATCTGGAACAATTAATTGGATTATTATTATTAGTAATATATATGTGGAATTATTCATTAAACATAACGGAACAATATTCATCTTTTACTGTTAAGCCTTATCAGCCATCTGCAAAGCACTTTGAGCTGTATGAGGAGAGCTCTACAAATCAAGTTATCATTATTATTATTATTACTATCAAGGTGTCCTCCATTACTGCTACACCAGAAGACAAAACCAGAAACTTACCTTTTTAAAGGTCCAAAATACTTACCCGTACAAAGTACAGAGCAAAACTATAACTAACCATTCAGAATAAAATTTCATTACCATATCCATCTTCTTTTCCTTCGTTCAAGCCATGTTCTCTGACTTCCGCAAATTATGAGGGAGGTGTTTCTGCAATTCATAACACCTGAAATAACAAAGGAAAAGGAAAATACATGAGCTCCAGTGTGACAAACATTACACCACTTTGAAATCTTCCATGCAGATACATGTAAACCTAACTCAGCAACTTATTATATACCACGTTCACATCAGCAAACATCCACAACGGATATTCATAATGGGTTGGCAAAAGAAAAGGAACTGCAACAAACCAGACTGATTTAGTACAGTTTATTATTGTGTACTGGTGCTATACTAAACAATAAAAGAGTAAAAACAATACAAGTGTAAAAGTTAATCAATCTGAAGGTGGCGATTCATTTGCATCGATTTTGGAATGTTTGAATAGATTATAATTAATTCTAATCATGTTTAATGAAGCATGTGCTCATCTTCGGTAACATGGTGTGTTGTTTTTGTCTGTATTGTCTCCATAAATAACTCCTCCAGTCACATTTGTGCATTCAGTGTATGTTTAAAAAATAATTCTAAATCGTATCAATACAATCAAATCGTGATGAAATTTGAGATTTCATGATGCATTGAATCATATCCAAAAGAATAATAATTATAATAAAACTGTACTAAAATGTAAGATTTTGGAGTGTATTGAATCTTTTCCCTCTTTTAAAAAAAAAATCAGAACAGACAACGTATGGACAAGGGGTGCACAAACTTTTGTCTTGCCAAAGTCTGTGGTGGACTGAGAGCCAGAAAGACAAAACTGTATATAAACATAGAAAATCTGTAGGTTTATGTTGAATTAAATACTTAAAAGATACAATTTTAAAAGGATTTTAAATGTTTTTTTACACAGCAGATAGTATTCAAATATGTTTCTTCTCTCAATGTGGGGTTAAGGTAAATTTACTGTGGGCCAGTTCAAACCTCCACAGGCCACACTGTTGGTAGCCATGGTACAGACAGTATACAGTAAAAACAATACAGTAAAAATAAAGAGTTCTTTGTGTGATGCTATAGAAGAACCACATTTGGTTCCATAAAAACCTTTAAAATTACTGGTTCTTTAGAGAACCATTTGTGTAAGTGAAATGCCTGAGTATTAAGAATCTACTAAAATGTTAAGGAACCTTCACATAATTTGAGGGTTCTAAAGAAAGAGTACATATGCAGATATTGTATGGGGTAACTGCCAGTGCACCTTCTAACCTGTATGTATGACTGAGGTGTGGCTACAGCAGAGAGGAAGGTGGGGGGTTGGGGGGTGATTGACAGTGTGTGGACGCTGCAGCTACTCAGCATCACGGTAATGTGAATGAAGCTTTGTGCTTGCGAGAGCGTGTTTGGCTTCTTTTGCCGCCACGCCAAAATGCATGTGGACGCGCGCACGCGTACGTGTGTTCGCCCGCAGACAGGTCGAGGGGCGGGGAAGCCGACTTTATCAGCTGTGAGGATTGACCCCGAGCCTAGAGCCAGACAGAGGTCAGGGGAAGGACTGTCTGGGCACTGGGTTTGACCCCAAGGCCTACAGCTTGGAGGGAGTAAGTGGGGTGGAGTCCCTCCTGGTTCTAGTCTAGGGACCTTTATGTTTCCTCTGGGGATTGGGGAGCAGACAGCAAATGACCAGGGCTGCTTATACATCAGCTCTGTGTCTGCTTCGTCATGCTGCACAGTCATGGCCGCTCGCGAGAACATGATTCAAATCAAATATGGTTGGTTACACAGCAGTGTCTGTATCCATGTCTGGATTTTAATGATGGTAGATGCGTGTGAGGACAATTTGGTGTTGGCGGGTCTGTTACTTCAGGCAGATCAAATAAACTAGCAGTGAACACAGAACAAATCAGAAAAGGTTTTGCTCATAAATACAGACCACTGCAGCATCTTCAGTCACAGAGTTATGAAGTGGAAGAACAGGGTTTGTGTGCATGGCGTAAAGTCTTAGTTTTGAGAATATATATATATATATATATGTGTGTGTGTGTGTGTGTATATATACTCTTTTTGCTACCAAGTTAGTTTCTGTTTTGTTCATTATTTTGCCATCTACCCTGTATTTTATTTTTTATTATGTGATTTTTTTGTACCAAATAGTCATAGTTCACTTCTACATGACCATTTTCCAACCTTTAGAATTAAACAAGCTGTTTTTGTTATTGTACCTTTAAGACTGATATATGTACAAGATCTCTGTTCTGATTGGATGTCCTATATTGTGCCTCATTCAAAAAGCACTCAGAGCTGAAACACTATTTATTACTTGAGTGTGAATGGGCGGAGCTAAAATGCTGTAGACTGAATAGGTTGATTTATGTAAATCTGTTATTTTTTTGTGACAAATACAGTAGATTTAAAACAGGCCATTTTTGCAGATTAGTTCACATATATGAACTGTTTTTAAGCCTTGTAAGCCTTGACAAAAAGTGAGGAAAATTCATTTTTCATTGATATTGGCTCTTTAAAAGGCCTAGATTTATTAGATCTAAATGGATAATTCGCACCATAAATGCAAACAATCAGTCCATAATGGCTTAGTTATAACGCTTTAATTACATTTTAGTTAGAAGCATCAAAACAGTTTGTAATATCACAAACTTGAGCAGCAAAACGAAACATCACTGCAAGTGATTGCTAATCATGTTAATTATAAAATGGGAAACAATACAATAAAAGTAATTCTGGAATAATCAGAAAAAGAGCCAAGCTACATTTAAAGGGGAATTCCACCAATTTTTCAAAATTTGTGCACAATCAAATGGTTCAATTGCAAATAAAAGTCATTCAGGGTGTTTTAATGTGAAATGCTCCAAACTTCCAGTTATTCTCAATGTGTGTGACAGAAATCAGATGTCAGAAGTGTTCAATGTGTCTAAAAGCTGTTACATGAAATGGTTATGAATGTGCTGCCTGGTGCCAAAGACGCTGTTTTATGAACATTCTGAGATAAGGTTTTGGCCTAAAACCTATTTTTCTAAATTTATGAATGGTTGCGTTATGTTGTGAGGAAAAACAGTCCAAAATATAAAACATTTTTTTCAGATTTAGCACTTGCCATTATCAACATTACATATAAAAAGTCAGAAGACATGTAGGTTTATGAGCATTTTGGAGAGTAAACAGAATTATCTGCACTGTAGACACTGCGACCCCTGGTTCCTATCACCACCACTGTAAAGAAATCCAGTTTGGTAAATTTCTCTACAATGAACCATTTCATATTAAACCACTGTGAATGAATGCATACATCTCAATCTGACAGAATATCGCTGAGATTTTTAAAAATTGGTGGAACTCCTCTTTAACTGAAGTGGTGGAGCTCTCCACCAAGGAGGTGCTGAAGTGACTGATCTATAAGTGGACAGCAGGAACTGTAGGAAAGGCTCCAAGGGTGTACTAGCATGAAGCTGCACTAGCTTCAGCAATAAGCTGTTTAGGATGACATGTCGCACCAGGAGACCAGCCTAATGTATGCAGTGTTTGGCTGGGGAAAGGAGTGGGGGGGCGTTTGCACCCTGTCTGGGACCCCCTCAATAGACAGAGGAGGCTTCAGAAAGGGTGCGTCTATGAACCAGGAGGGGGTGGTGGGCATTTTTTGAAGAGGAGGGGTGGTTGCTAGGCCTCAATTCAGAGTATCCCGCCTGATGTCCCATTAAGAACTGGGAGCAGGGCCGGGGGGGAACTGGTTAACCCCCCGTCGGACTGCTGCTGCTCCTGGGCCCTATTATTTAAGGCAGGCAGTCAGCTGCATACTAATTTTACACCATCCAGACATGAATCGGAGCTTGCAGGAGAAGCCCAGTGCTAGAAATAATAAAGGCATACAGGAGAGTCACCACACAGAAAGAGAGGAGTGAATATGGTCAGAATAAGTAAAATAGCATTTTGTTGTTTTCGTAATAAAACCCATTCAGTACTGCATGTAAATATATATTTATACATAACTTATGTATAAGACATTTAGCCAGTGTTGTAACAAAAGCTTGTATCTCCAAAACAGTAACTTTATAGGTACAAAAAGGTTATTGAAGGTTATTTTTTGTCGTTAAACATTTTCAAGTAGAACATGCTCTACTGAGTCATCATCTCATATTTCATCAACGTCTTGGGCAAAATTTGACAGCATTCGCAATTATTTCTTGAGTTTCACCCTCAAGACTGTTTTTATACCAGAAACATTACTTTTTTTAATCATGAGTGCTTTTCGATTGCTAAGTTATATTATTTTAATCACCCTCTTAGTGGCTGCAATACATCGCAACTGTTTTGAAGCACGTAAACAAATCACAATGAGAGCAAGCCAGACTAAATTGCAGCCTCCATGTAACAGGGTTAATTTTAACAGAATTAAGCCTCGCCAAACTAAAAAATGACAGATGGTCAATTATTACTTATTACGGTGAATACATCTTTATGTATTTAGGTGGGAAAAAATTTAAATAGATGGTGAATACATCTTTATGTATATAGGTGGGAATAGTTAGTTGGAATTAGCATTGATTTATGCAACTGTTTAGCCCCTTTAGTTTGTTACAATAAACTCTTCCTATGGGGTTAGCTGTGACACCGGTACTCCTGCCACTTTCGGCTGAAAGGTTCATGATAATTGCTGGAAACAAAACCAAAATGCTTTAGGTTGTACACTGATCTCCACTACACAATACAGGCAACTAGCATTTTCAAAGGCTTGATTCTAAACTGTGTTTGAGCTCAGTGCCCACTCTACAATGAATAAGCTGATTTTCACACTTACATTTCAGAAAAAATCCTTAAAGCCTCCACATTTTTATGTATATATATATATATATATATATATATATATATATATATATATATAAAAGCACTGAATATTGTCAAGTGTTGCTTGTGTCAAGCAGGTAGAAGACTGTACTATTTCATTGAAATGATCCGTGGCCACAGGGGAGCATTCGTGCCTGCTATTCCTTGTTTGGTGTTGATTTTCTGTTTATCCTGTTTGTCAGTCTGCCTGGAGTTTTGCATCCGTCCCGCAAGGACAACAGAAATCTCATTAAAAATACATGGTATTGGATCACAGCTCTCCTGAAT